GATTTTTCACAAACTAATAATTCTGTTCTATAAAAAGAAACTTCCCAACGAAAGCAGATTCATCAAGACATCGTTCACACGTTTTTGTAATTTGCACTTGTCCCAGGTGTGCCTAGGTAGGAACAGAAATTCTAATGAAAATTTACTGGTGATTTTAGACACATTTTTGGGTTGATGCTAGGAGAAGTTGTTCAAATTTTACTTGATGTTGGTGAATCTGTTGGTTTAGATTCTTTTTATAGAACAGAATTATTAGTTTGTGAAAAATCGGCATAGATTTAAAAGTAAAAAAAAAAAAACTCGGCGAGTCAACAAACTAGACATGATGGACGAACTATTTACTTACGGACGACCTCCACCCTATATATATATATAACTGTCGTCAAGCAAATCAGTTCATTTGTCTTGCAATACAAGTACGAGTAAGTTGGATTATGAATCTCTTTAAAATCTTGACGTATTGATACGAATCAGCATGTAAGTTAATGAGTAATTACGGATCGTAACAGTCTTTGCAAGAATACGATCATACTTATACTTATCTTTACACACCTACACAGGTAAAAATTTGGGATATGAAACATCAAATCTCTTGTTAATCCCATTCGAAATAAATCCTATTTCGCTTAGATAAGGTCATCGAAGAAAGAAACTTTAGCAATAAACACTTAAAAGACTAGTCAACGGAGACAATGTCGTTCTGTTCTGACTCAGAATTTTCAATGAAATTTTTGTAATACTATTTTATTAGATTTGCACGAGATTTATTTGCAGGCTAAACAAATGCGATTCTTTATTTTGATTTGATGGATTTGCATTTTGATTTAACCTGATATAACGTGACTTTCACTAACTTTGATTTGACTTTTATTGCATTTGACTTCAATTTTACTTAATTAGACTTGAACTTGACTAGTGAGATTCTAGCAAAACTAATCACGATCCAGAAATTTCAATCCGTTGTTAGTTTATCGAAACTTTGTACTAAATACTTACACTATAATACGGTTTTAAGGAAAAATAACGATTGTCTTATAAAATTTCACCAAATGTAATCGAAGTGCAAAACTCACAATCGTCTATGACTTCACATGTATTTTGCACTTAATTTTTCACTAGAGAATAAGGTTTTCGATAATAGAACGGTTTTATACAAGATTTCACCAAACGAACTGCGAGTCGCGGAATCGAAATTTTTAATCAGTTTCTGAAAACGATATATTCAACTTTTTACTCTAGCAAAATCTGTCGAAAAGAATTTCGCCAAGAAAACGAGTGGACAACTTCAAAGAGCTGATGATAAATCAGAATTCTCTAATCTAGTTTATCTTTTGTAAAAGTTAATAAAAAAAAAAAACATATTGTCTTCAAAATCCCTTTGTTCAACGAAAAGATAAAGTAAAAAACTTCCGAAAAATAAAATCGGATTCAAATTCTCCGATCCTAATTTTCTGCTTTGCGATTTCATTAGTCGAATCTAATCTAATGATGTTGAATCTCAATAAAAATCCAGTAAAATCAGAGGCTTTCATTTTCGAAGGACTACGATTTTCTGCACGCTACATTTAACCGATTCACTATTGAGTATGTCAATATTGTACTCTAAGAAATGAGAAACTCTCAATAAATCCGTAAAAAAACTCGGAAAAAATCTTTTACTTAATTGAACATAGACTCTATATGGATTTAAAATCCTATAAAAGAAAATATTCTCGGAAATTTCATAGAAACCCTTGATTCGATTGACTGTTATTGTTACTGACTTAAAATTTAATACAGGTAAGTATTCTCAAAAAATCTGAAAGATCCCTAATAAGCCTTTTGCTAGAGGTAAGTCTTCTAATGAATACGCCTAGTTTTCGGCGATTTCCTTGTGAACACGGACAAGTTTCAACAATTTTCCAGCAGGATACGACTAATTTTCTCCCAGTTTCAGGATGTGGGAAAGTTTTTGAAAAAGACGGTTCCTGGTATGATTACTTTCCGGCCGAAATACTGCTTCCACTTTCCATGAATTTTTTCTGGCGGTTCCTTGGTGTTCCGGCAGGAATTCGCAGGAAAATCTGTCGTTTCCTGTCGTATTCTGACTGGATGACGTAGCTTGAATCATCGACCTGGAATGTGAGAATATCGTCAAAGTTGTATTTGAAAATAATATACCTTTGTTAATATAATGAATTCTAACAAAAAAATGACCATTTTAGACTAAAAATCGAGTATAATTGAAAGGTGAATATCTCGATGAAGGAGAATTATGTTTCGGATCAAAATTTGACAATATAACTCGAATCATTCGATATGTTTATGAGGGAAATTTTCGATGAAAATGAGTTTATTTCATATTTCTTTAATAAATCTAAATTGAATAAAACGAACATAACTCGTCTATAATAATAGATCAATGTGTATGAGCCTTTTCGAGATTTTTCTATTATTACCGTGATTTTCTCGTCAAGTAAATATGATCTGAAATGATGACTATCAGTTCAATTAGTTATCTGATTAAAAAGTCCAAATTAACTAAATCAAGATGAGATTTCTTTTTATAAAAATAATTATTTTCTTTTAGATAAATTGAATAAACATTTTAAATCGAAATTGTTTCTTTTTGTTTTTTTCAATAAGATATATTTATTTACTTGTTTATACTAAATGGTTAAATATGATAATTATCTAGAAATATTTCTTGTTGTTTTTACTAAAAAATGTCAATCTTTAAAGTATAAATAAATAAATGTTATCTATGTTGAGGATTTTTGTTTGACGATTTCATCAATCCATTTAAGATAATCAAGATTTCCATTTTTAATTGGTAATTCAATTAATTCTGGTATTTCATATGGATGATTTTTTTTAACAAATTCAATTAATTGAGGAACATATTCATGTCGAGTTTTAATCATTAAAATAATTTCATTATCTTCATGAATCTTTGATTTCCATTCATAAATCGATTGAACATTTGGAATTATATTAACACAAGCAGCAAGATGAGATTCAACCAATGAACGAGCTAATTTACGTGCTATTTCATCAGTTGATACTGTTGTTATACATGCAGAATATTCCGATGATATATTATTAGACATAGAACGTTTTATCAATATCTGAGAGTAAACATAATATGTTAACAATGAAATAAAGAAAAAAATAAATGAAACATAAATAATAATAGAGACCATTACAATATCTACAATAGATAATTAAACTCACCGAATTATATATACGATGACCAATTAATTTAAATAACAACATACTGAAAACAAATATATATTGATATTATTTTATTGATTATTATATTCGTCAATTTTTTCTTTTCTTTTCTTCTCTTTTTTAATTTCAGAATAATAAAAATGATCTTATGAAAAAAAAAACCTTATAAACTAGAATTTATTCGTTTTTCTTTTTAATTAAAAACAACAAAATAGAGTCTCGGTTTTGTTTGATGTTCTATTTGCAAATAAACGAGTTTAACTTATTTGTTTTGTTGATCATCTTGATCAATTTTAATAAAAATAACAACAACAACAGCAACAACAACAACAACAAAAAAAAAAAAAAAAAAGAAAAAAAAAAACGGAAACATAAAATGAATAAGTTTAAAAAAGAAAAAAAAAATGTTTCAATCTCATAAATTAATTATCATGTAAAGCAACAAATGATTTTGCGCCAAATGGTGATGCATAACGAATTTGTAAATGTTGAAAAACTTTTTGTCCAAATCCAAGATCACAAAGATAAAGTCGTCCAACATTTTTTGATGACATTGAAACAAGTGGTAATAAAGGTACTAAGGAATATTTACATTCAATAGCTCCACCATCTAATGGTGGATCAACACCAATAACAGATGCTTGAAGACGAGAACAATATTGAACTATATCACGATACCATGGTTTAGCAAATAATACAGAATCAGAATAATTAGCAGCATCTAAACCATTTAATATTAAATCGACAGGTGATCGAGGAAGATCTAATATTTATATATTTAATTAATTATTTATTTATTTATTTAAATTAATCTTACCAGATACATTTGTTGTTATTATACCTTGAGTTGTTCGAAATAATTTAAGTTCATTTTCAATAAAATAATGTTGAATAGGATTTGAATTTGGTGGAATATATAAATAAATTCGAATATTTTTTGATGCTAAAATTCTTCCAGCACAAATAGCATAAGCACCTTGAACTTCAGTTAAACAAGCTAAAACAACAATTGTTGGATGTTGATGACGATTTTTAACTAATAATCGTTGTGTACCACCTAATAAATGCAAACACATATCACTTGTACAACGACCCATTGATTCAATACGTCTTTCTAATGAATAACCATGATATTCAGATGAAGAAAATAATTTATTACGTAATTCTATATTTATTCCTGGAACAATAAGACCTTCATCTAAATAATAATTATTTATTTATTTATTTATTTATTTATTTATTTATTTATTTATATTTATAATTAACCTGTTAAAAATTTTTTAGTTGTAGGTAAAGGTAATTGAATTTGTTCATAATCAATAGGTCCATTATTATGTTCAAGAATCATTTGATCACACCGGTATTTATCTTGAATTTGTGAAGATGAATGTAGAATTGCAGCATTTTTTATTGATGATAGATTTGATGAATCAAAATTAAAACGATTTGTTGTTTCATCGGTTATTTCATTATCATTTGTTGCTTCATCCGACCAAGATTTCGATGAACGAGAACGACTTGATAGACTAGCATTTATACCACTCGATATACTTGATTTACTACCTTAATCAATTTTAAATCATTTTTTATTTTTTTATTATTCAAAGAAAAACAAAAAACAAAAAAAAAAAAAAATAGACTTAATTATATATATTTATCATTTTATTTCATTTTAAATATAATTATTTCTTTTTGCTTTTTATTTAATTATGTTTACAAATGAAATTCATCGAAAATAAAATATAATCAAATATAGAAAGTGAATATGGAATTTTTCTTTCAATGATTTAAATATATAGATTTTTACTTTTTTTTTTATCTTAAATATTATTTTTATATATTTATATCAGTCAATAAATAAATAAATATATTAACATTAATTATTAAACAAACAAACAAATATCTTTCATTATAAATCATTGAATTTAAATTAAATTTTTTTTAAAAATATTCTTTACAATAATTGATCAATAGTTTTTTCTATTATATTCATAATATAAGACGAATATTATCGAGCTTTACTCATTCAACTTTAATTCGATTGATTTAAAGTCTCTTATATGAACAACGTCTTCTCATAGTCTGTTAAACTAAAACTGAACAAATCTTCGTTGTTCTATATATCTCTGTCATATTTACGGAGTGAATAATATTTATCATTAAATCGTCATCTTATATATTGTTTGATTTAAATAAAAAAAAACTAGACAAACCATTATTGGCAATAGGGGCAGCTTTTAATTGTTGTTGAGATTGTTCATGATATTGTTTTTTTTGAATTGTTTTAGGAATTTGAAAATGATAACCTGGTTGAGATAAAAGATTTAAATCAATAATATCTTTAGCTTTAATAATAACATTATTTAAACCATCTTCATCAATTAAAATTCCATTATGAAATGCATTTATTAATGTTAATGTTTGATTTATTCCATCAACTGATTTTATTTGTCCTTGATAATTTCCAATTATTGATCCACAATCAATTGATACAGTCCAATTAAGAAAATTTTCAAAACTCATCTTTTTATTTCATTCTATTTTTGATCGAGCTTTTCTTTTAAATCTAAATTGAACAAATAATTGTTTCCATTAAGAATAAATCAAAGAAAACAAAAAAAGAAAAACAAAACAAAACAAAACAAAACAAAAGACCAAAATAAATATATATATATTCAAATCGTTTGACATATATTTATAATCGAACATATAAAAAGAAAAAAGAAAAAGAAAAAAGAGAAGAATAGCTTGATTAAAGATAAAATAATATTTAAAATTTAAATCGATGGAATATGTTCTATTTAATATTAAGATAAACAATTAAACACCTGAGCTCAATCAACATATAATAACTATACTGTTCAACTGTGCACCAACTTATTGTTTTGTTTCACAACATAACATTAAACAATAATTTACTTTTATAGAATTTTCTTGTTGTTGTTGTTTTTTTGTTTTTCTCTCACTCAATTAGTAGAAAATAATGTACACAAGAATATATATAGGAAAATCTATTTACATTAAATGAAAATGAAATTAAAATTGAAAATAAAGAAAAAAATAATAAAGAAATGTTTAACTAATTGAACATGTTTTATTTGTTAAACTTTGATTTTTTGATAAATTTCGATTAATTGGTTGTTTACAATTTGAATTCATATTAGCAGATGAATTTGACGAACGACGAGAATTTGTTTTTTCATTTAAATATTCATTTGTTCCATTTTCAAATGTATCAATATTATCCATTGCTTTAATACTTTTTTCAAAGATTTCTTGAACAGCCTTTTAGTTTTATATATATAATTATATAATTATATAATTATTTATTTAAATATTCTTACTCGAATATCCAAAGCAGATGCTTCAACAAATTGAACTTTCCATGAATTAGCTAAACATCGACCATCTTCACTTGAAACTACTCTAAAAAATATAAGTAAATAAAATAGATTTTCGATAATATATTCATTATTTAATATTAAAAATAATTATTTTTAATTGATAAACAAATTAACAAAAAATATTTACTTTTATTAAAAATTTCTCTTTATCAATAAATATTAATAATCAAAATTT